TCTTGCAGGGTAAGTCTCTGGGAATTGTTTTCCCCGAGGATAATTCTGAGCTTCACTGGAGCAGCCATTTCACAACAATCTATGAATTAAAAACAAAACAATGTAATTCCTAAAATTTTGCTTCACCAGTTAATTTTTTTCAGTCTACTTTAAGCATTAACTTTTGAAATAATTACAGCTCTTAATTTCATGAGTGCAGTGACAGTTTGGACATTACATTTTTAAATTAGAATGTCATCATACCTTAAACATGTATGTATCGTTTCAAGGTCACCATTCTGAGAGATCCAACAAAATAGTCTGCCAGAGGGTAGTCATCTGCTAGGTCACTAAGCTCAATAAGATCCATCTCTTTGGTTGGACATGCTGTGAGCTCAAAGGCTCTGTGATGCTCACTGTACCATCCAGAAAATCTCTTAACTATAAAGCATAGTCTCTCCTGGACTACAAATATGTGAACAATCTGTCCAAAGTCAGGAAGACCACTTGTAGACCCATGAGCTACAATCATGCCCTTTTTGAAACATACACCTTTGGTTGACACAGATCTAGTTAGGTGTACCTCTTTTATGCCAGGAAATTTATGTTCAATACTCTGAACAATTTCTTTTTTTAAAACGTCTACAGGAACTGTTGAGACATTTGTCACCTCAAGAGTGGGCTTTTCAAAACTAGATGATCTCATGTAATAAGACACCATGATCTGATGCTTGAGAGCTAGCGAGAGGGGCACATTTTTGAAGCAGTTTGAGTGTCGAATTACTTGCTTAAAGAAACTGTGCTTAGCCTCGAATCGCATTGTCCAATGACCAATAAGAGGACCAAACTTCCTGATGAGTGCAGGATAGTGCTCTAAGTAATGATGTTTGGGTAAAAGCTGCAAAGTAGGAAAGAGCTCTTGATATCTTTTGCGATGCTCTGAAATTTTGCACTCAAGGTAAGCAATGGAGTCTTCTGTGTGTGTTGGAGATACCAACAGCTCTACAATATCCTTTAAATCCATTAGAATTTGCCATGCCATTTCATCTTCTGGCACCAGATGCCCAATGGTGAATGGGAGAAATCGTATCAGTGCCCAGTTCTCATGGGCATTCCCCCCAATTGTTTTCGAGAAATTGTGTGGGATCATATGAGGCCTGTTGGTCTTGTCTGACCATTTGTAAGGAAAACTCATGATCGATTTGTTTAGAAGCTCAAGACTGAAATATTTCTTGGATATCAGCAATGACAAACAATGTGCAAGCTCCACAGGCACAATGCCCTCGAACACATCATGCATGATATCAGGGGGATAACCTGTCTGAACACTAAAGTGGGCAAGATTTTTAGTGATTGCACACTGTCTTTTCACCCCAAAACTACTTGAACTGTTTTGCTGAGCTGAATTTACATGAGACGCATGCAGTTCTTTTGTCCTCAGATCAAATGATTCTGATCTTACTTCTCTCTCTTGGATCTCTGTTCGTGTTGCTGTGCAGAATCTGCAAATGTTTCCAGCAGTAAAGCTCTCATTAAAACCTGCTATACTGTGAGCACTGAGGTTATCTGCCACAACAACTTGAACTGTGCCTTTAACACTTTTACCAAGCAACGGCACAAAAAGTCCATCTTGCTCAAGGACTTTTAGATCCTGAATAAGAGGATGCAAGACATCATCATATCCATACCTTTTCAGATCATCAGATTTGCACAATACTGCCAGGTAAATCGAGGAAAGTGCTGAATGTGAGCCTGGAGGCAGATTACTCAGAGTCCAATAGATTCCACAGAGCTTGTGTTTTCTGCGAGACGTACCCAGAGGATTGCATACCTCAAAGTCATCTATGTACAAAGTTAGCAAGATTGTCAACTCACCCCCTGAAAGAAAACTATTTTCCTTAAAATATGAGCCATCCTGAAATGATTTATAAGTATGCTGTTCTCCAGTTATCCATTGACACTGATGTGCTCTGTGGGTTTCAACAACTTTATCCACAACGTCTTTTTTATTGAAGACCTGTTGCAAGCTCTTCAGTATAGGCACATACTGAAAGCTTTTCTCTTCCTTTTTATCAAGCATGTACTCAATGGGATCAATGACATTAAAGTTTTCTCTGTAAAACTTGTTTCGGAGATGTGATGTGCCCAAAGAGCCACCCTTCTGTATAGCTTTTAGTAAGGGGTGAGACGTGGAGAGGGCTGTGGCAAGTTCTGCTATCACTGATTTATCAGGTGTGGAACCATGTTTCTGAAAAACAGCTTCAATGTTTACAGTGAGAGGAAATGTGGCTGAGCACAACAAATAGTGCAGCTCCTCTAGAAACTCATCAATTTTTGTGCCAGGCACATGTGCAAAATGTTCAAGTTTGAGCAAAGCCGCCGCAAAATTCTGTTCAATTATGTCAGGCAGGGTCTTGCTCATATCCACATCGTTACTTGGAGATGCAACATTTAATTCCACTGCAG